GGACAGTTTTTACTGGTAGAAAGATAATTAAATATGCTGAATCGAGAAATATTCAGTTATTAACATCGACCCCATATTATGCTCAAGCGAATGGGTAGGTCGAAACAATTAATAAAGTAATTATTGGGTTAATTAAAAAACATGTTGGTAATAGACCCAGAACGTGGCACGAAACGCTATTGCAAATTTTATGGGCTTATCGAAATTCGCCTAAAGATTCCTTACAGAATACCCCATACAAGCTGGTCTATGGACATGATGCAGTTTTGCCCATCGAAATAAATATTGAATCAAATCGAATACAAAGGCAGAATGATTTACCCAGTTGTGATTATTGGAACTTGATGTATGATGAATTAAACAAACTCGATGAAATAAGATCGCAGGCGTTGAATAGTATGATTTTACAAAAGAATCAAATTGCTCGAGTTTACAATAGAAGAGTTCGAAAGAAAACGTTTAACGAAGGCGACTTAGTGTGGAAAACAATTTTACCGATGGACAAGAAATGTAAAAGTTATGGTAAATGGTCGCCGGAAGGACCTTTTGAAGTTATTAAAGTATTATCGAGTAACACTTATTCGATCATCGATTGGTATAACAAAGATAAAGTGCTATCGATAAATGGCAAGTACTTAAAGAAATATAAACCTCGAATAAGAGAAATAAACATTCAACATTAATTGGGATAGAGTAATGTTTACAAAGAAATGTATTGAGCTTTAAGATTATCAAAATCTATCAACAGCTGTGTCCAGGACGAGGAAATCGAGTTCTCTTCGACAGTCAAATTATGCTTGCGCTCCATGCTTTGCCCGAGAGATAACGCCACCTCCTTCGCAGAAGAGTTAATCTTATTCAACTCTGATGTAAGGAACCCCTTCTGCGACTTCAACTGTTGTAACCTCTTCTCCAACTCTTCGATCTCATTATCGACGGAAGCCAGTGCAGCCAACGTCTCCTCTCGATTGAGCTTCCGAGTCTTCAACAAATTCGACTTCTCAATCTGGAAAGAAGAAATGTCGATAACTTAGTCGCTATCGATCGCTTCTTCTTCCTTACAACGATAAGCTCGGTTGAATAAATCGGTGGCTGCTGTGACCTCTGCATCAAAACCTCTTGGAAGAGCCTCCTCAGGAAAAGTCTCGATAGAGGTGAGGATCTCTTTGAAGAGTCGTTTCTTTTCAAAAGACTCTACCAAAACTTCCAGAGGCGAAGAGTAGAAGAAGGCCCGGAAATGCTGTTTCAGTTGATACACTCCTTCAGTCGAAGTGGTAGGTGGTTGGGAAGAGTGGTTCGAAGGAATGGCGTCACCAGAGACCAAAATGTCGAGGATCGAGAAAGGGTCTTCCTCGATGGCAGCTCGATACTCGGGCATACTGCTTGGAACGGGCGCATCTATCTCGGGTAATGTTGCCGAGAGTAACTCGAAGGGAGGCATCACAAAAGGGGGGGAATCCTGTTGCTCCGCAGAAGCTGAGGAAGGAGAGTCCTGGATATGGACTAATGGGATATTTACTGAAAAGAAAGAAATCGAAAATGTAAATCGAGGAGTTCATAATAGAATGAAATGAAAAGGTAACATAGTGAAAGAAAAATCTAAAATACCAGGGGGAGGTAGAGCGAGGAGTGCTGAGGTAGGAGGAAGAGTCTGTATAGCCTCAGGTTGCTGGTAAATCGAAATAAAGAATTAGAAAAGAAAATACGTATAAGGCAAAAGCTAAATATAAATATTCAAGAGTTGTACCTCGAGAACAGGGGTTGAGGAGGGAGGCACAAAATCGACGTTGGTCGATATAGTCGCCGATGGATGATCCTGAAAATATCGAATTTTGAAATCACGTTATAAGCCTCATCGAAATCAATAAATATGAAATTCGTGTAAGTGAAGGAGGCTTACGTGACTTGAATGAGTGATGGGTGTCGTTTGGCCCGTTGTAGGAACTGTATTAGAGTCCATCGATAAAGGATCAAGAGCAGAGGGCTGGACGGATCGAGGACTCTTCGATTTTGTTTTCTGGAAGTTAGAAATCGACAAGTAGGTATAAGAGTCCAAAATAGATCTACTATAGACATAGAAAAATAAATAATAAGAAGAGCAAAAAGAACCTTCGATTTCTTCGAAGAGGAAGAAATGGTGGTCAAATGTTTACGCTTTCTGACAAGGGCCGAGGGATCAGACTCATCAGAAGACTCCCAATCCTTCTCCTTCTCTTTATCAGCAATGGCGACCTTAGAGGACTTCGAAACTGTCGAGAAAGAAGACAGTTAGCTTGTAATATCAAGAATTAAAAATATCTAGAAAAAGCAGCAAAATCTCACCAAAAGGTGATGGAGTCAAAATGGTGACTCGATCGATATGTACAAGCCAGGGAGGAAGAAGAATTTGAGGGAGGTGTAGGTAAGGGAAATAAGATAATTTCGATACAGAAATATTTTTGTTTTTTGGTTTTGGGCGAAGTGTTTCCCTTAGAGACCTCAATTCTCGAACCCATTTGGGATGAGTTAAAGGTTTGGCAAGTCCAAAAGGAGCCGTAGGAAAAGTGGGAAGGCGATCTGGGCAATACATTCCAAAAGGGGTTTTACCTAGAGGATTGATTATTTTGTGGTTCGATCGATTAGCGTCTGTTTTATTGGATAAGGAGATAACAACATCGTAAAAGGTCGATTCTAATTTCAGTGGGTTGTAACATATTTGATAAAAATTCTCGAATCGAGTTATTTGAAGACAGTGGAAGTGTGTACCTTTCTTTGCTTTCGATTTGTCCTGCAACACAAGAGAAGGATGAGCAGTCAATTTTTATCGGACTTCGTCAAAATGCATCGAGGTTTTTGGCAAAAGCTTGGCAAGCTCCCGTCCGATTGTCGATTCAGTTAATTTGGACCTTGGGAAGGTATCTAGGGGGAAGAAGGGTAAGGATTGGCTCAGACCAAATTGTCTCGAGAAAAGTTGAGGGTAGTAAGTAATGAACTTGAAATCTTTGGATTGGAAACCCGATACTAGTACATCCTGAGTTAAATAGTTACTCCATACATCGACCAACTCTAATTGCAACCCAGGAGTCGAGGCAGGGAATTTCGACTTAAACCAAATTGGCCCCCTAAGTTGGCCACTTATGCATCCAAGATGTACAATAAAAGGAGCTAGGGTTGAATCGAAATTAAATCTGGTTAACAAAAAATTAAGGTATCTACAATAAGCCGCTTCATCGGGTTTGTGGTGAGGATGGCGAGAAGACAATCGGGCCCCTTCTATATTTACACTTAGGGGGGATGGTAGAAGTTGGGGAAGGATGCTCTCAAAAATCGAATTTAGCCACAACCGTATAAACCAAATAGGGCCGAAAAATTTCCCGAAGCTTTAGGAGTACTCAAAATTTCGACAAACTTCGTCGAAAGCAAGTATATACATGTGCTAGCAAAAATTTGGCTAAACATACTCTAGGTTGGCCTAGATGAAGGAGATATGCAAGGTCAAACAAGATGGGAGGAAATTTGGATCGATCGAGGCGTAAAACATGGGTACACAACCAAGACACCAAAAAGGCTATGTGCTCTTCATCGACCACAGCCTATTGATTCGTCATCGACGAAATGCTTCTCGAGGAAATGCCCATAAGCTTTCGATTCCCAATCGATTTTGGATCTTAGAGAATTATCCGAGGGACATGCACCCTTAAAATATCTTTCCCCTATAGGCTTTAATCCAGTAATGGCCGCGACTTCAAAAAGGGTGGGCGAGAGGGGACCACAAGGTAATTCCAGGGCATGTATTTCCTTATTCCACAAGTGAACGGCAGCCAAAAACATAGCCATGTCCAAATGAGATAAGTCACATTGGGACAGGTGCAAAAAATCGAAAATTCCCACGCTTCTCCAATGATTCCCGAATTTAGCTTTAACCCTATCGAACCATCTAATGTACAAAGGTTTTTTGGAAGGAGGGCCCGTCCGATACACCTTAGAGACAAGATTCAAAAAATCAACCCTAACTTCAGGTTGGTGTACAAGAGCTGGACTATCCGAGAGGTTGAGGGGAGAAAAAGTTCCATCAATAGAACGAAGAGGACCCCCAAAAGCGTAATTAACACCATCAGTAGTGTAAGGAATAAGTACCTGCGTTTCAGCAATTTTCCGAGAAGCTTCCTCCATCAGAGGGACTGGAGCAAACTTCTGATTGTTAATCTCCAGCAGGTTAGATGCCAATGAAGGAAGAGGTGGAGCAGAAAAGTCAGAAGATTTGGAGGAAGTTGCCATTTCAGTAACTGGTAAAGTGAAGAAAAGCAAGGTAAAGAGATGAAGGCGCATGGATGAAGACAAGAGCTCAAGGAAGAAGATGAAGTTGCAAAGGGTAAAGGTTCGCGTAAAAACCAGAGAAAGACCGATGGAGAGGTTAAGGGGAAAATCACCTAGGGAGCTGGAAACGACGGAAGCGAAAGGCAATTAATGTGGCTTGTACTGTAAGGCAGTAGACTGACGAGACAGCGACATAAAGCAAAAAAGAAACCCAAAACCCTTTAAACCCTAGAACCCCAGAAACCCTAAACCCTAAGTTCTGTGGGCCTCCAAACACTAAGGCGGGAATTGTGTTGAAAGAATATAAACAAAAACTATTTATATTCTTCCAAGGGGGCATTTTGTTAGGAGGAAATCGAGAAAAGCGATTGAAAAATGAAAGAAATAAAAATCAAGAAACATGTGATTGATCAATAACGCGAAGAGGTGAATGAGAAATCATTCGATGTCCAATTAGAAGGGCGTAACACACAAAATCGAAAGTTAGAGTAGGAATCGAAGGAATAATAGTTAAAAGTTTATTGTGGAACAAACCAAGAAATTAGAAGTATATGATGTTAAGGCTAAAAGGAACCAAAAGTAATTCAAAGTTCTCGATAAAATCGAAATCGAGGGGAAGGCTAACCTACGTGGATATCGAAACCCTGGCCAAATTGTGAAGGGAAGAACAGTCAAGCGCATATACGGGAAGTAGTTTCTAAACCATGGTAGAAGATGAAGATCGTGAGAACGTGGGTACAGTATTGAAACCATAGAAGATAAACTGCAACACGCACGTAGAACGTGGTAGCAGTTTTGTTAACTGCTCCTGGAAGGTTTGAATGATGCCCTATAAATAGAGCAAAGGAGGAAGGAATAAGGAGCAGAAAATTGGCAGAGAACAGAATCATTAGTGAGAAGTCTACCGGAGAAACGACGAACATCATGAAGCTTCTGGCAATCTGGATTTCCATGCTCATTGAGTACCTTTACCGTTTTCTGTATTTTCCCTGGTAATTTACTTTGATGCAATTTATCTTTAGCAATTTTATGTTTCTGTACTTTCGATTTTTGGTCATTTCAATTCAATGAAAGTTAAGTTTCCGCGTTTAAGTTTTCTTGTCATTTAACATTAATGCAATTTCGATTTCCCAGTTATTTATACTTTTTGCACATTTGATTTACTGTCATTTATACTTCCTGTTATTTACTTTCCTGTTGTTTCGATTCCCTGTCTTTTATACTTAAAGCAAATCTTAGATTTTCTCATGTTATGTTTCTTTGCAATCTAATGTTTCACCACTGCTTTTCGATTCCACGAATTTTTCTGTTTTCTTTACTTCGAGCACTTTAAATATAAAAGACTAAAAAAATAGTAATTTTGAAATCGGGCAAAATTCGATCCTCATACGCATCTCGATTGAAAATTAATTTGCTGACCTAAGTAAAAAGAACTTACATGGTAGAATTTTGATTAGGATCAAAATCGATCGAAATTCCACCAGAAACAGATTGTCAATCCACATACTAGGTCACGTCGTTAGTATTTCTCGATACTATGGGATTTTTTATTCTCATACACATTTCGATTGAAAATCCAGTTGCTAGCCTAAGTAAGTAAAAAGAATCTACGTGGTCAAAAATTTGATCAGAACCTTTAATCGAAATCAATCAAATTTTTGCCAGAAACAACTAATAAAACTTAAATTTTGTGAGATAAAAAGATGAAGATGATATGTAATAATCAAATAGTTATTGGTATTAATTGTAATTCATTCTTGTGTGAGAGTATAATGCATTATCATCACTTCATTTAAAAGCATGGTGGACAAAGCTTTGGAACCGTGAACCCTGACATATAGGGTTGAGTAGAAGCATGGTGGACAAAAGCTTTGGAACCGTGAACGCACACATAACATGGCGGGCTAGCAGCATAGATGCTGTTAAGAGGAGATAAGATAAGAGAGAATTGGACGAAGGAAGTAAGAGGCGTCTGAAAAGAAAAGATTGGGGATTGGTTTATTCGTTGGTGAAGATGCAGTCACTGTCAACTTTTGAGTCTAAGTCGATACAGTCGAGAGTTGCAACCATCATGCAAAAACTGTACGAGAGGAGAGAAAGGAATTTTAAATTGTGTCTTGTTTTTCTAAAATTTGATGAGAAAAATATAATTCTGTTCCAACGTTTTATATTTACCAGGATCTGAAATTTATTGAAAAAATATTTTTCGAAGTTCTATTTTTTTTATCTGTTGACTATATCAATTGGACATAAAATAAAATTCATTGTTGTTAGTTTTTATACCATCGATTGATTAAATACAATCTGAAACTCGAGAAGATAAAATCCTTTTCTTGTTCTCGTTTTAAAACAAGTATCCTCCAAAACTTCTTCTCGAAGGAAGAGAAAAATATATATATATATATATATATATATATATATATATATATATATATATATATATATAATATGATAAAATAACTTTAAATTCTATTTGGGTAATTTTTTTCTGTTTTTCATTTAATTAAAAATGTCAATCTATCCATTTTTTTATTTCATTAACGTGTTTGCTAAATAAATTTTTAAATGTATAGGTGTTATTCTTATGAAAAAATTTACTAATAATATTATATATATATATATATATATATATATATATATATATATATATATATATATATATATACATATATATATATATATATATATATATGAGAGTAAGGTGATAGATGAATTAATAATTTGATAAATATAAATATATTTTCAAAATGTTAATTAGATATATATTATGTAAATATTTATCATCTACTCATATTTTAATCATTAAAATACGTTCATCATATATTTTCAGTTAAAATTTTTTGATATTTATAGTATATAAATTATTTTTTATTTTCATAAAATAAAATTAGTGAATATATACTAAATGGTCTATAAATATAATAATAATATTACTTACATTAATTAATTAATATTATATATATATATATATATATATAATTTTGTATTTTAGTACTGATAAGTAAATATATATTCAATTTTTGTATTCATTTACTTCTAATATAAATATATATAAGTATGTAGACTTGTTGATAAGTGGTATTTCAGTTGGATTAATTGGAAGATTTGAAATGGTAAACAATACACCTTAATCCTAAAATAATGAAAATTTGAGAAAATTGAAATTGTTAAATCAATTTAATAAGATCAAATTGTTTTCTTATATCAACGAATTAATATATTATCAAAATCATGGTTTTTTATTTTGTTATAGCTTTCAAGTTATAATTATTAATATATCTCATTTATTTATATATTTAAGAATTGCTATAAATTATTTAGATTATTTCTAATTTATTTCTAATTTGATGAAATTTAATTTTAAAATAGAGATGAAGTTATATAATAAAAAAAATATAAGAAAATCAAATTTAAAAATAAAACTAATAATATATTCTTTTGAAAGAATCTAAAAATATATTTTTTGAATTAGTTGTTTAATAAAATAAAATGAAAAATAAATCGTATATTCAAAATAAATAAATAAATATTAGAATAAGTCGAAAACGATAATAACTTCTAAATGTCACAATTAAAAAAATCAAAAATCATTCTGTGTAAGAGATTTATCTTCAAAGCAATTTATAATGTTTTATTAACATTAAACAATCAGTATTTAAAGACATATCCCACTATATAAACATGACAGACTATTTATTTATTTTTTCTAAAAAATTAAAAATCATTGACTGATAAAAAATATATTGTGTTAATCACATCTCATCAGTTTCCTCTTTTGATCTGATACTTCACCATTGTTTCTTTTACGTTAGTTGTCCTCTAAATGTCAGCGTTGATTCCTGTTAATCACATGAATGTATGTTGCTGCTTACGTTCAACACATAATATTTTTAATATTCTTGATTATATATATATATATATATATATATATATATATATATATATATATATATATATATTAATAACACAATATATTAGCCAGTGAATGAATTGAAAATGAGAGTTATGAATATAAATTACAAATATAATATATGTGACATCTATTTGAGTTCAGATGGACATGATGTCTGTATTTGTATAGCTTTGTCAGATGGTATTTTACTCCGATCTTCTTCCAAGTGCTCTGGAAACCTAAATAAAAATGTGATGTAATATCTAAATATAATAAATTTAATTTATGTATAATAATGGAGGTTTATGTTGATATTAATATTATTTATGTATATTAATATTTTTTTAATCATTATAATAAAAAATAATTAAATAAAAGTATTAAACTAATAAATAAATTTATTTAAAATTAATGAAATAATATTTTATTGAATTAAATCACTTTTATCTTTTATAAATTTTACATGTATTTCTTTCCACTTTTTACTTTATTCCTTTTAATCTCTAAACACTTTAACCATTTGTTATGATAAAAGTATTTATGAATATATCTTTATTTTTTCTTAAATAATGTCCAAACAAAAAATTATGTAAGTAATCCTTTTAAAGTTAAAAATCATGTCAAATAGTATTTTCAGTGTTGAAAAATCTATCAACCTGGTCCTCTGTAAATAATAAGAAATGTATTATTATTCAGGAATTAAATTGACGTATGTTAAATACTTAGTTACATCATTTACACATTTTCATAAATTATTACTTCTGGATTGTGAGAGAGAAAGTTAGTAACTTTCAATGTGATATATAATAATCCATCTTTCTGTTTGGATAAGTTTCTCCAAAAAGGGAAGAAAATAAAAATAAATAAATAATTTGATATATAAGCTAGCATTAATTTATATGAAAGCTTTTACAGATTAACTAATATAAGTTAATTTAAACTTATGCAGAAACTTATTAATATTTTATTTCACATATAATATATCAATGTGATGATCAAACTAAAATGTATGCATGTGTATGAGTTGCTTAATATATAATGATGGTTGTTGTTCTGAAGAAACATTTGTTTTATTCATTAAATGTTGTTGGGTTTTATGTGCTTGGTCCGAAGTACCGTTTCACTTTTCTTCTGAGCGGTTATTTTTTCAAAGTTTCAAACATGGTAATTACTAGGAAATGCCATGCAAGATTTCTGTATTTCTTGTAACCTCGACTGTATCGACTGTAGAATCAGCTGTTTTGAAAGAGACAGCACTGCACAGCACCGCGCGTCTTCACCAACAAATGAAGAAACCAATCGCCGATATTTTATTTTTCAGACGCCTCTTACATCCTTTGGCCAAATGTTGTCTCTTATCTGATTTCCTCTTAACAGCACCTGTGCTATGCTGCTAGCCCGCCATTTTATGTGTGCCTTCACGATTCCATGGCTTTTGTCCACCATGCTTCTACTCAACCCTATATGTCAGGGTTCGTATCAAAATATTTTAGTAAATGGATCATTGAATATGATAAATAGTACAATTTTTTTTAGACAAATGTTTTTTAAACGAAGTGATAATCAACTTGCATGCATTATACTCTCACACAAGAATGAATTACAAGTAATACCAATAACTATTTGATTATTACATATCATCTTCATCTTTCAATAAACATACAATATCTTATTGTAAAACATATTTTCATGGGAGATATGCTTAATCAGTATTACTATACCCCAAATATTTGATTGTTTTATTTATTGTTGTATAACAGACGTTGTCCTAAATGTATAACAGACTTTATCCTAAAGCTTTTCTGAGATATCTTAGAATACGGATGATAGCTTTTCAATTATAAACAAAAAATGTGCATGAACAGGCTAACAGTAAGCTAAATTAATTTTTAAACCAATTTTTTTTATTTTTTTAGATAAAAAAGATTATATTGTTTTGCCCTTAATTTTTTATTTATCTTAAGAATGACTTATTCTTTTATAACATGTGCATTGATGACATCCATTATCACTACACCTTTCTCTAGTGTTACATTTCTTAAGAATGATTTAGCATACTCTTAAACATTTGTAAGAGTTAAAATATGGAACATCGTTGTCAAGTTTTGTTTTTTTTTATAATGAAAATTCCTGTTAAAATTTAATATTTAACATATCTAAATTTAAATTCATAGTAAAAATAATCATAATCATATATAAAATATGTTTATTTTCTTTTTTAATCCTACGAGTTAACTCCATGTAACAACTTTAAGTTTTTAACATCGAGTTTCAGTTATAAAAGATATCTTGCTATGATGTATTTCATTGAAAAAGATTAATCACATGGTAGAGTCATAAAAGGTGATATTGAATATCATTTACAAAATATTTTTAACTTTTTTCAAAATAAATTTGAAGTCTTAAATGATACAATAGTATCTCATATTTTGGGTTCCAAACACTAAAACACAAAATTAAAAATGGAGTTTCTTCCACGGATAGCTTTGTCAGATGGTATTTTACTCCAATCTTCTTCCAAGTGATCATGGAAACCTAAAAAAAAAAGAGGAACAAAAAAATACCTCCACGAGCACAACGGTAATATCGCATATGAATTCAGAGTGTTTACAATGTATTATGTAATCAGAATATGAACTTTTATGACAAAAATAAAATTCGGTTCCAACATCTTTATCCATTAATTATGTTATTGAACAAAATAAAATTCTTTCTTTCAGACATTACTTTTTATCAATTCACTCTGTTATCAGTATCTAAAAATTCTATCGAAACTATACAATTCTATTAATTTTGTTGTTAGTTTTTACACGATTGATTGAATCTGAAACCGGAGGAGATAAAATTCTCTTCTTGATCTTGTTTTGTCCTTCGCTTTTGTTTTGTTATTTATAATAACCATAAACTTCTTGAGAAAGAGGAGAGAACAAAATAATTAAGAAATCTATCATTAATGACAAAAATAACTTAAAATTATGTTTGGGTGATTGTTTTTCTATTTTTATTTTTTCCTTTAATTAAAAATATCTATTCTATTTATATTTTTCTCATATATATATATATATATATATATATATTTATTGGTAAAGTGATAGATGAATTAATAATTTGATAAATATAAATATATTTAAAATGTTAATTGGAAATATATTATGTAAATATTAACCCATCTACTTTGTATATTTTAATCATTAAAATATGTTGATCATATATTTTCAATTAACATATATATTATAATTTATATTTTTATAAAATAAAATTAATGTATACTAAATAATTTACAAATATAATAATAATTATAATAATATTACCTACACTAATACATATAATGTTGTATTTTAATGTGTAAGGAAATATATATAATTATGCAGGCTCTTGAATTGGATTGATGATAACAATAAATTATGAAATTTAAAAGAATTCAAATCGATAAATCAATTTAATATTCAAAGATCAAATATATATATATATATATATATATATATATATATAATTATTATTTTATTCGTATGATGATGCAGGCTCTTGTATGATGATGCAGGCTCTTGTATCTGATTCTATTTCCGAGAAAGTTATTTAGTTCGAAGCGTCGTTTCACTCTTCTTCGGCTGTATTTTTTTGAAGTTTTAAACATGGAAATGCCATTTAAGATTTCTGTCATTTATTATAACCTCGACTGTATCAAACTGTACAGAAGTTTGAAAGGGACTGTACTGCACTGCACCGCACCGCGTCTTCCACCAACCCGCGGTCTTTTCTTTTCAGACTCCTCTTAGACCAAATGTTATCTTTCGTCTTTAAAACACCTATGCTTTGTCTATCAAACTTCATGTATTTTTAAAACACCTATGCTTTATATCGATCAGATTCATATCTAAGAAGGGTAGTAATCCAATGAGCATGTTGAGATGGAGCTCGTAAAAGTATTTCTAATTTATTTAGGGTATCACCGGACGTGAACGGTGAAGGTATCAGAAGCACCAGAAAACTGGCCCGAAAGGGTGATATTTGGAAATGGACAACGGGAGAATTGTCGAAACAGTCTGTACTTTTATGATCGATTTCTATATGTCACATCGATTACTCTGCGCGCTTCAAGAGGAGAAGAACCCGTTGGACTCAACACCGACAAGAAATACATATTTTGCGAGTAGGTAGCTATTAAAAACCAGGTCAAAACATATTTTCCTGGCACTGATCTGAAGCCGTTTTTTCGGCTTTCTACCGGAAGATTCCAACTTTACCACTGCATCAGATCAGGCTTTACCATGCTTTTTTAATTGGTTGTGTTACAATTATCCTTTGTTTTGCTTATTAAAATGATATCACATTAAACAAACACATACTTATGTTGTTGTGTTGTCAGTCAATGAAGTGGCTATACTCTTCGTCACATAGCATTGTTTATACGTGCTATACCTCTCCTTCAGATAGCATAAGAAGCATATAACTCTGACGGTGGGGAAGCTGTAAGGTGTAAAGCCAACCTTGAAACATGTTGCGGGCAACCTTCGTTTTGCCGCCATTGTTGTTTCATTCTTTGTGGCCAAACTCTGTCTGTCCAGATTATGGTGGCTATATTTATGTCAAGTGTCACATTGAATGTGCCCTATGATCTTTCTTGGCCAACAAAGTTGGAGGAAAGTGTCATAATGAATACCTATGCACATGTTGTAATGATAGAACTGACATGATATCCGGTGGTAAAGCCGTAATCTTCCAGTAGAAACTAGAGAAAACGACTTCAGGATCCGTACCAGGAAAATATGTTTTGATGTAGTTTTTAACAGCCACTTGCTTGAAAAGATGCATTTCTTGCAGGTCTTACTCGAACAAGGTGCTTCTCCTCCTTCAACTTCAATAGTCGATCTGGCAAATACAGATATTCATCCTAAACGTACGGTTCCGGACAATTTTCCGTCCTGTCATCGATCTTCAAACATCACCCCTTTCCGATCAGTTTCCGGTGTGTATGATACCCTTCATCGTTCATGTCAGGTGTCTCAATATGTTCCCTGGATTACTACCTTCTTAGATATGAACCTGATCAATATTAGCATCTCTTTATGACTATTGGATTGAATTGAGAGAGTTTCTTTGCTTTACAATCTAAACACACAGTATTTTGTGTGGATATGACTTGTCTTAGACCTTCTTATTCCATCTAAAAAATAGACAAACAAACAGACTAGCTTACAAATTTGTCTCCATTACAAAACGTATTTTTTCTCCTTTTAGTTTTTTTTTTTATATATTATTTTTTTCTATTTTTATTTTTATAATTTTATTTCTTCAAATTTCAAATTTTCTTACTTTTGGTCTAATTTTTAATTATATATATTTATTAAATAATTAATTATATATATATTTATTAAATTTTCATACTTTTGGTCTAATTTTTAATTATATATATATTTCTTCAAAAACATTATATCTAATATATTTATTATAAAAATAATTAAATAATAATTGGAGTTAAATATAGAATTGAAGATTGAAAAAAAAATTAAAATTTAGTGAAGTTTAAGAAACAAAAATTACAATTTAAATAAGATTTATGATTGAAAATACTTTAAGAATATTTTATTCAAATATGAAACAAAATATTAGTGTGATAATCAAACACAACACTTATTAGTTTGTTTTTTCTTTTTTCATAAAATTTGAAAAAAAATTAAAGTAAAGATTAATTTTCATAATTATACCTATTTACTACTATTAACTGTATTAGAATTGAATATATATTTACTTACCAATACTAAAATACAAAGTTATATATCTATATATATATATATATATATATATATATATATATATATATATATATATATTAATAGTGTAAGTGATATTATTATTATATTTATAGATCATTTCATATATATTAATTTTATTTTATGAAAATATATGATCTATAATTTTATTTTTATAATTTTATTTCTTCAAATTTCAAATTTTCATACTTTTGGTCTAATTTTTAATTATATATATTATTTATTTTATTTGATCCAAAAACATTATATCTAATATATTTATTATAAAAATCATTAAATAATAATTGGAGTTAAATATAGAATTAAAGATTGAAAAAAAATTTTAAATTTAGTGAAGTTTAAGAAAAAACTAAAATTACAATTTAAATAAGATTTATAATTGAAAATACTTTAAGAATATTTTATTCAAATATGAAAATTTATTAGTGTGATAATCAAACACGTTTTTTCTTTTTTCATAAAATTTGAAAAAAAAATTAAAGTAAAGATTAATTTTCATAATTATACCTATTTACTACTATTAACTGTATTAAAATTGAATATATATTTACTTACCAATACTAAAATACAAATGTGTGTGTATATATATATATATATATATATATATATATATATATATATATATA